GTAAAGTGTATGGCCACCTTAAGTTAGGAGCTGCCAATTCTACATGGAAATGGGCTTTAAAGAAAACCAGTAATTGAGGTTTCAATTACTGACCTCTTCTTCTGAAACTTATAGTTCCCAGCTGATCAAATGAAATACAATGCAATACACTAAAAAATCCAACAGGGAGAATAAAAACCCTCCATGGTTTGATTACAGAGATTGGCTGGCCAAGCCTGTAATCTAACCATAGTGTAAGACAAAATCCATAATCGAAAGATTTATCAAATTCGAAATAGTCCTTAGCACTAAGTTGGTCTACTGAGATATGGTTGTTGCTATTACTCCACTGTAATCAACATCAATGCTGTATGGTCCAATATATATATATTTTTTTAAATGCAGCTAGTATACATTACTGAATGAGATTTGGTATCACAACAAAACTGTACAACAGAACTCTTGGGGACTGAGGGAGTGAGAAGCAGTACAAGGAGTCAATGAAATGTGCTGCCTTAGATATGTGCTGTTGAGGAGCATGGTGAAAACAGCAGAGCGGAGTGAGCAGAGAAATGAGCTCACCCATGTGCTGGTGCTCCTTCAGTGCCCAGTCACAAGCTGGGGAAGGGAAGGTGACCAGGCTGTATTGCTTAACTTCGGTAGAGAAAAGTCACGTCACCAAGCTGGCTGTGCTGTGTGACAGAGTTGTGTAAATCTCATGACTTGAAGGACACAAAATAGAAGTCCTTTAGTAGCTAAAACAAATCTCATATATGTACATTGTATTTAAGACTGTGTTTACCAGTTTGGTTGGAGTTCAGCTTTAATCAGCAAAATATTTCTGACCATAATTTTCAGAAAATTAAAAATGTCTCACCCCTTTCTAACTTGGCAACCAATTCCCTGGTCAATCTGTTACAAACCCCACCATGTATGGCCTGCTTTAGGATGCTAGACTTGGGGCTAAACATCTGGAGTACCACTGATAAGGTAAGAGCAAAGGAAAATGTATTTACCTATAATTTCCTTTTGTTTCTCCATTGCAACACATCATAATGTATTTCTTAATCCTGACACCAAGAGAGATGTATGCGGCCCGACCACAGTGCATAATGGGCTTCTAAGGGAAAAAGTTATGAACTTGTACTGCCACGTGTGACAAACAGTCTTCTGTTTCCAGGTCTGAGTTCCTTTAGGCTAATCTCTCAGATTCATAATATATCACATAGTGTATAGCTGACATTCCTCAGAGTAGGAAAGAAAAATAACACATTCTGGAAGCCTGCCATGTGCAATGTTGCCTATTTAAGACAGAGCTGCATGTACTAATAAACTCAAGCCATCCAGGCATTCCCTTTCCTCACTTATAGTAGAGGTGCCAGAATTTTCTATTACAAAAAGAGAAAAAAAATGTCAATGTGATATCTTCTAGTGACTAACCGAAAGCAGTGTTCTGAAAGCTAATGTGTATTCTTTAATGTGTAGCTCCTAAAATGCACACTATATGGTCATTTGTCTGTGGACACCTGACCATCACACCTACTATATGGCCAATCATCTGTGGACACCTGACCATCACACCTACTATATGGCCAATCATCTGTAGACACCTGACCAACACAACTTCTATATGGCCAATCATCTGTAGACACCTGACCAACACAACTTCTATATGGTCAATCATCTGTGGACACTCTGTGGACACCACCACACCTACTATATGGCCAATCGTCTGTGGACACATGACCATCATACCTACTATACGGCCAATCATATGTGGACACCTGATCATCACACCTACTATATGGTCAATCATTTGAAGACACTTGACTACCACACCTACTATATGATCAATTATCTGTGGAGACCAGGCCATCACACCTACTATATGGTCAATCATCTGTGGACACCTGACCATCACACCTACTATATGGTCAATCATCTGTGGAGACCAGGCCATCACACCTACTATATGGTCAATCATCTGTGGACACCTGGCCATCACACCTACTATATGGTCAATCATCTGTGGACACCTGATCATTACACCTACTATATGGTCAATTATATGTGGACACTTGACCATCACACCTACTATATGGTCAATCATCTGTGGACACCTGATCATTACACCTACTATATGGCCAATTATATGTGGACACCTGACCATCACACCTACTATATGGCCAATTGTCTGTGGACACCTGACCTTCACACCTACTATATAGTCCATCATCTGTGGACACCTGACTATCACACCTACTATACGGCCAATCATCTGTGGAGACCAGCCCATCACACCTACTATATGGTCACTCATCTGTGAACACCTGACCATCACAACTATTATATGGACAATAGTCTATGTCCACCTGGCCTCACATACTATATGGCAAAAAGTAAGTGAAGACCCCTCCAAATTAGTGGGTTCTAGTGAAGGGTACTGTTAATGCTACAGCATACAAAGAAATTTAAGACAATTGAGCTTTTCCAACTTTTTGATAACCGTATAGGGAAGGTCCTCTTTCTTCCTGCTTTACTGTGGCCATGTGCACAAAGCCAGCTAAATTACATAGTTTGATTAGTTTGGTATGGAGGAACTTAAGTGGCATGCACAGAGCTCTAACCTCACCTCTAATGAACACCTTTGGGATACATTGGAACGGTGATTGCTAGCCGGGTCTTCTTGACTAACATTAGTACCTGAACTCACAAATGCTTTTTTTGGCTGAATGGGCCATAAATTTCCATATGCACATGCCAAAATCTTGTGGAAAGCCCCGCTGGAAGAGCGGAGGCTGTCTAACCACAAAGAGGAAAAAACATCCCATGGAACTGGAATGGGACGTCCAACAAACTATTTGAGCTTGTTGGTGTGATGGTCAGGTATCCACAAAATTGTAGCTATATTGTGTATCACTTTGACAAAACTTTCAGCCTTTACTTGTGTATTTATTTCTTCTAGCGTGATACATCATTTTTTTTGACAGACTCTGTACGAGGAAATTGGATGACTGCACCCCAGATATATCAATACTCTTTTTTTATTGTTTCATAAAAGCATAACACAAGAAATGAATTGAGAACCCTTGACACATTTCATGCACACAGGTGTTTAGTCTCTATGACTAAGCCCTTGTGTGGATGAAACGCGTCAGTATTCTCAATTCATCTATTGTGTTATGCTTTTATGAAAAAATAAAGAAAGTGTTTGGATATAGCTGGTGTGCAGTCATCCAATTTTCCTGTATAGTGGCTGCCAGTAAATGAACTGGACAAGCACCTCACTATAACCAGCAAGTATGGACAATCTTATATCACTTTTTTTGTTTTCAATAACACCCAACATACTGTTTTTAAAAACATCCATTTTTAAAGGAAATTTCTTTAACAAATCTGATTTGCATTTTTCTGACACCTACATTATGATTGACTGTCATAGATAACAACATGAACACATCTCAGTGCAGTCTGTCACATTTCATAAAGCAGAATACATCCTTGATTGAACAATCATGTATCCAGATCATATCAACAGAATTACTACTTCACAATAATGCCACTGTGCCACCAGTCACCATAATACCTATACTGCACTAGACACTCAAATCATAGTGACCAGACCATGTCAGGGTTTTTCCCTAAAGGCTTTGCCATCAAAAAGTACAGATTATTCCATTGTTACAGATTGCAGACCAATATATATGGCCTGTTGATCTCACTGTATCAAAGCCAGGAGACAATAATCAGAGCTTCCATACCTCTACTGGATCTTGCTTTGCTCATGCCAGCATATGTAAAAATTAGCTCACAAAAATCTGTATGGAATCGGCATTTAGAACTTAAGTTGTAGTCTTTGCTCTATAAACTTGCAGATCTGGATGTCCTGCTGACTGTGGGAACAAACATGTTGCCCCTAACGCGCCCTAGGGAACCACTCAGTGGTCATACAAGTGAAGGACTAGGAACCTTTAGCCTGTGGGGCAAACACAGCCAACTAGCCCTTTTATACTAGCTGTGGGCTTAAGAAAGTCAACCAAGGAAAGTGTGGCATAGTGCCCCATTGATTGGTGGATTTGGTGAAGGAAATGGATTATTGTGACACATCTTCCAGCATAGGCTTCCTCTGCAGCTCTTGAAATTCATTCACATAACATCTCAGAGATGCAAAGGAAATTGGTTCTAGAAACGTTTCCTCTGTCAGATTCTGTGATCAAAGATCTAAACTAGCTAGTTGTATAATGCCCAGTATATGTCACTGGCTGTAGGTCCCTTTCTAACTGGTTCCTAAATGGTGAAGAATCTCCAATCAGGGCCACTAGCCTAACATAACTCCCCCAGGGCTCAGTCCTCCACCGGGCCAAACTACGAACCACTGATGAACTAAATATCTCTAATTAATATATTAAATATCATTATATATAATAACCACATACAGGTATCCTTTAGACCCAACATCAAGCTCTTAGAACAAAGTGAAACCAGTAGCAGAGGGGAACACAGAAGAGATTCTCTTGGCTAATAAAGGTCATATTTTGTTCTGCCAGCTCTTAGAAAGGACTTTTACCATCAAGTACCTTAAAAAGCAGACATGTTCATAAAAGCTGCTTCTACGGCACCCTTCAGTGCCAAGTAGTAAGCCAGAACAAGATATCTGACAACACAACTGCCCCATACACAGTGCAGAGTTAACCATAGTAATTTCGGAGAATATAATTTCGCTGGGACGATTTCTCTTCTTCCACAATGAAGGCAAAGACAAAAGTGTGCTACTTCTTTATCAGCTCTAACTAAATCAACGACATCATCAGACCTGTTGTCATTTGCGCTTGCTGTCAGATGCCGACTTGCAAATTTATCTTAATGCAGATCTTAATGAATGCAATTATGCATATGCATCAGCTCCTCGCACCCAAAACATTATGGGAGCAGCTCCATGATTACTGTTCCTCTCATCCTGAAAAGGAAACCCACACACAACGGCTCCTTGCATCGAGGCAGCCGGTAGTAACGTGACTTACTTCGCGGTCTAGCAGCGCTGGAGACACCACTGTGACAATGTCGCCCTTTTCAGGGTCGATGTAGAACATGTTAGGCGATGGCTTGTCGGGCGTTTGCTTGAGGATATTGTAGCGCAGGACGGCGTTGTCAGTAGTGGGGTCATCCGCATCAAACGCCAACATGTTCATTACTGTGGTACCTGAGGATGAGAAATACAAACACAGTAGCGGGTTAGCGGAGATATGAGCTGTGAATGTTTTCTGTTTTTACTGTACAGTGCGAGTTCACCTTTTAGAAAGAAAAGAGAGAGAGAGAGAGAGAGAGAGAGAGAGAAGGACCACTGATACATCCCAATTCTTGGCAGACTTGACCTGGATATAATTTCAATATAATCTTTCTATACTTTAAAAAAAAAACACTAAGTGGCTAAAATGGTAAATATAAAGCTATGAAATACTAATACTAATGCAATATTTTACTATATTTTAGCTAAATACATTCCAGTTGCATCAAAACATAAGGTATACAAAGTCTTACAATTCATTTTCTATAGTAAGCAGCCATAGCCTGAGCAAAAAAGTCTGTCCCCTGCCAGCATGCTGCATAGAAGGACCCCTTTTCTCTGTGTGGAAGCAGTGATATCTCTGCAGAGGCCCAACACAGCCCCTGCTGAGTCAGAGCTAAGGCTCTCCAATTAGCAGAGGGCATACACTCTGCTGATATCAGAGACCACTGGTTCCACACAGAGAGAAAGAATCCTTCTCTGCAGCCTGCTGGCAGGGGATGGGCTTTTCTACTCAGGTTGAGCGGCTTTCTAATAAAAAAAATTATGGTAAGGCTTTGCACACCTTCGAGTCGGTACACCCGGAATGTATTTAGCTGTGTTAAATTGAAAGTTCAATATAAAGTTAACACTTTTTTAAGGCCTTGGATAGAATGTAAGGGGTTAAAATATCTGCCAGGCTTGCTATTGTTGTCTCTGTTCGTACTTGGGGGATATACCAACTCTCTTTCTCCTAGTAACCATTGCCACTAGAGATGAGGAGAAATCTTCCAAGGGGGAGACCTGTTACGGTGGGATTTCCCCTCCCAATAGAAAGAGTTTCTCTCACTTCCTATTGTGTCTCTGAGACACAATGGGAAGTGTGGATCATTTTCTGCAATACGACACAGAGAAATAGGACAAAAAAACAAAACAAAATAAACCCTAAAAAAAAAAAAAATAAATTGGAACAAAACAAACCCTTGATATGTATTGCGCTACTGTGGCTACCCTCTTATACATATACAAGTGCAAGATATAGGCAGAAACATTGAATGCATAACACACATTTAGCTGGTCTCTTTCAGATGTGCAAAAGGTCTAATATATAAATGAAAAATACAATAGTACGTATCGTATTCTATAGCAGTGTTTCTCAACCTTTTTTTCAGTCATGGTACCCTTTAAAAGTTTGGAAAATCTCGAGGCACCACACCCCATTAGAGTCCCCCTTTCACAAGCCCCCCCTCCCCCTTCACATCAGAAGCCCTCTTTACATCATGACCCCCCTTCAGATTAGGATCCTCAGTATCCACTTCACGTCGAGTCCTCAGTCCCCCTTCACAACGAGTCCTCAGTTCCCCCTTCACATCTGAGTTCTCAGTCCCCCCTTCACATCAGTGTCCCAATATCCCATTTGGAGCTGCAGCAGCGGCAACATGGCAGAGGGCGAGCAGGCCTGGATGGAGACGAACTTCCATCCTTTTATGAATAGCTCCCACCTTCCCTCAATTAGCGTAATCCGTTTACATGGTGCTTGCGCTCACCTGCACCATGGAAAGCATTACATTGTGTAAAATTTTGAGGCACCCCTGAGGAAGCCAGAAGGCAAGTTGAGAAAGGCTGTTCTATAGGACAAACAAAAAGATACCTTGTTGCACTTCTTACCGGAAAAAAACAAAGTTTCAACGCTAGTTTTGGTGACATGACATTCCAATAAAATAACTCTTTGGACTGCAATACTGGTTGTGTGCCGGTGACATTTATTCATCTTTAGGCTGTTCTATATTTCCCCTTTAACTGATCCTTTGCACACTGCTCCCATATCCCTCTAAATATGATACAGAACATACTGCCCCAGAAGAAAAAAAAAAAAACAGAAAAGAACAAAAAATCTGCAATGCGAGTGCGTTGTTAGGACACCCCAGAAAGCGGAATCAGATCCTAGCGGCCATATTTACATCTAACACTGGCGCTCAGTGTGCTCCTTCCTGCATGATGATGGAGTTTTATTAAGGTTATTTGACCATGAAGAGGCATCTTAATTATAAGTTTATTTTCGGAGTGATTACAGGCCCGGCACACAGTGTGTGCAGTATACACAGATATGGCACATTTATTTAACAAGCCTGATTAATATGCAAGTGTACAATTGCACAGAACATTGCATTAGCCTCATGTAGGGCTTTGAATAAGGCTCCCGTTGTTCCTTGCTTTCCACTCATTCCGTCTTTCATTACAAATAGAAGAATCTGCTGTGGCGCTGACCCCCTCTGATCTGGGGATAATTACAGCAGCACTCCGGAGTCGTTGGCGCATACAGATGACCGAGTGCCAAGAGGTGAAACTGATAAACACCTTGGTGCCTTAATCATTATAAGACATTATCTGCGAAAGTAGCCTGTCCACTGTGATACGTTTGTCCTTGGAGGTCGGGATAAGGGGCTGGTAGTTTCTGGCATGAGAACTGCTGTGCATAGCAGTCCCTCATTTGGAGGGACTGTCCCTCTTTTGGGACCGAAGCCCTCCGTCCCTCTTTCTTCTCTAGTTGTCCATCTTTTTGATCTAATGTATAGACCAACACAGTATAACAAACACAAAAAAACTTTCTAACTACCAGATGTTGTTTACTACACTAAGGGGATGATTTATAAATCATCTGCTCAGCCATACGCTGGGCGAATGCCATTCACATATCGTTCTCACCACTAGATGGAGCCGAGTAGCACAGGAATTCTGCTCCATCTAGTGGTGCTAATGCCATTTGAACGACATTAAGCCAATCTATATGTCTTGGCGGATGGAAATCATTATCATTTATCATTATAAATCATCACCTAAGACTTTTATTCTTTTTCTTTATTATTGCAGTTGTTATTATGGAAAGCAAAATTGAGTACTAAAATATTACAAAATATTTTTTGCATATTAATTCTTCAAAGCCTGTCTAACTGTAGACATGTCAAGGGGGTGTGGCCTTCATACTTTGTAATTAATGGTGTCCATATTTCTTATCTCAGAATGTTGGGAGGAGTGCTAGTGTGCATAGTACAGTGTCCAAGTGTTTTAGTAAGGAACAAAGTAAGCCTTTGGGATTACTCTCTCTAATTGACATCTCAGACAGCTCCCTATGATCAGAGAAGACAGAGAAGAGGAAGGAGGGGACTACGCCACTCCTCTGATCATTCCATTGTTCTGTAAATCTGACCTTAAACTACTAAACTCTGTAAACTAAAAAAAAGCTTTTTTAACAGAGCACCTAAGAATAGTCATGTAGACAACAGGTATAGACTAGGGAATGCGCTTAGATTTGGACCAAGCACAGTCCCAACTTGAGTTCCTCCAAACCTGGAAAAAAACTCCTCCCAAACACAGAAGGAAGTTCCATCCATGCCGTTTAATCAGCTGCAGGAGGAGGATTCCCTTTTCCGCAGCTTGAGGCAAGCAAAGGGGCCAGGTGCAGTGATGTCAGTAGCCTTATATGGCTACAGGGCTATATTTGGTAAATTACATTTACCTAATTTGGCTATGTGGCCATATAAGGTAAATTAACTCAGCACAGCATCCCGCCCCTTTGTTTACATGCAGCTGCGAGATGGGGAGTGCCCCAACCCGCAGATCGGGTGGAACTTCCTTGGTCAGGGGAGCTCAGGTTCGGATCGGGTTTGGTCCAAACATGAGCACATCTCTAGTATAGACCAGGGCACCACCTTCTGACTAGCTAAATAAGAAAAATAATAATAATTAAAAAAATATATATATATATATATACAGGTGAAACTCGAATAATTAGAATATCGTGCAAAGTTCATTTATTTCACTAATGCAACTTAAAAGGTGAAACTAATATATGAGACTCATTACATGCAAAGCAAGATCATTCAAGCCGTGATTTGTCATAATTGTGATGATTATGGCTTACAGCTCATGAAAACCCCAAGAACCCCAAATCCACAACCTCAAAAAAGTAGATTATTACATGCAATCAATAAAACAAGGATTGTACATAGAACAATATTGGACCTCTGAAAAGTATAAGCATGCATATGTACTCAGTACTTGGTTTGGGCCCCTTTTGCAGCACTTACTGCAATTACTTTTGCACGATATTCTAATTATTCGAGTTTCACCTGTATATATATATACACACACACATACACATACAATATTTCATATTGGACTGACTAAAAAAATAAACAGAAAAACTTAAATGTTATTATTCGACATGAAAATAATAAAACAAAGAAGCATATAAAAACCTATACATTGACTTTCACGCATTATATTATTTGATTTGTTTTTTCTTAGTGATGCATTTCTTTTCTTTTCTTATAGTTTTAATTGTGGCTGTTATGGCAATTGAGGCCAAATATGCAACTTCCTGCAATAATCCCAATAATGGCATATTACCAGTTGGTGTATATGGCCTGTGTGTAGGTCCTACGAGATATAAGCATGTTATGGATGTTTGATGTTGTTAGATCTTAGATACCAGTGGTGAGTGCTTCTGGTCAACGTTCCCGGCTCTGTAGCAGAAATCCGAGGCTTTCAGTTTCACCTCTGATGTGTTGTATTACTCCAGTGACACAATCAGCCATGCTCTGCAATTCAAACCTCCCTTGCTGTATTGCTCAATGATACTGCTACTAGTGTAGGAATATTGATTCCTTATCTCCTGGGAGCTGAACCTGTTTTGTCATTCGGCGTGGAAGAGTTGGAGTGTAGTTGGTGCAGAGAAGTGGAAGAACAGAGATGACAGTGGACTAAAAATGAAGAGGACGGCATGCAAAGGATGTATATTAGATAGAAAGAAACTGCGCTAGGAATCAAATAACACTCTAAGAGCAGCTGTGCTTAATAGGTGAGTACACCCAAAATAAGAAAAAAGAAAATAGCACTGCGCTTCAAACTCAAAAATTATATTCCTAAAATGTGAA